CGCCGGAGCCGACTTCGCCCGCAGCTGCCCCTCCCCGCCTCCGGGAGCCGAGCTCCTCACCTGCCCTCCGCCCACCCGGGGCCCCTGGCCAACTTCTCCCTGCAACTGGGGGGAACAGGCAGCGCTCTCCCTCTCTACCGTCCCGACGGCATCCGCATGTCTCCGGACACCTGAACGCCCGGGTCCCGCGGAGGAGCCTCCCCGCGGGGAGAAGAGCGCGGGTCCCACCAGCCCCGTCCATCACCGCGGACCGCGGCCGTCTAGCCTCCGGGTCCGGTCCCCTCCTTTTCCTTCGGGGGAGGAGGATGGGGTTGGCAACGCTTTTCTCGAGGATGCTCGTGTGGTTGGTGGCCTCCGGGGTTGTTTTTTACGGGGAGCTGTGGGTCTGCGCTGGCTTCGATTATGATTACACTTTTGATGGGAGCGAAGAGGATAAAACGGAGACCATCGATTACAAGGACCCGTGTAAAGCCGGTAAGTGCCTCTCCAGGATGGGACAGCGGCGCGCGGGGGCCGCCGCGTTGGATTTCCGATGGGTGGCGGTGGGAGCTCACCTGTTTTCTGCCCTCCCTCCTCGCCGGCCCCTCCACCGCCCCTCCTTCTCTCCCCCTCCTTTTCCTTCCCTTTCCCAGCCCTAAGTGGCAGCCGACGAGGCCCGAGTTGACTGGAGTTCTGTGCTAGTGGGATCGATTGCAAGCTCTTGTCCCCCAGTTTGGGGAAAAAAACGTCCTAGAGTTTCTGATCCTCTTCCCCGCCCCCCCCCGCCAACAAAACAAGTCCTAAATCCAGCTGGCCGCTGTAGGTCGGAATAGCAGCGCGCAGCGGGCTCTTCTGCACCTGGAGGGCACCACACTTCCTCTTTGTTCCAGGGCGCGGCTTCCCAGCGCTGCTCTCAGACCGAGTGGGCAGGGTTCCCCAAAGCTGCCTACGTATGGCATTGTTCCCAGGGGACACCTTTGCTTCCTCGTTTTCCACGAATTTAAAGTGTGGGTTTTAGGCTAGAAGGGGATCGTGACAACCTTGGAAGGACGCCCTTCTAAGCGGGACTCCCAAGCATTTGGCAATTTCAAGTAACCCTAAAAACATTTTCCAAGTTGCTACCCCATTCAAACTTAGATTGTCCCTCCTACGAACACCCCCGAGAATTGCAGTTGGAAAGACGCAGCCTGAAGTTCAGCTGCTTCTCAACTCGCAAAGGGTCCCCCCAAACGCCGGTGCTCTCCCCCCTTCTCTCTCCTCTTAGCCTCTGGAGCGGCTGCGGGTCTCTGCTCACGCGCTGGGCGGCGCTTCCCTCCTGCCGCCCCGGGTCGGAGCCACACGTGCCCCCGCCAGCTACCACGTGAGCGCACCGCCTAGTGTGCCCTGCGCTGGCTTGGGTTCCGAGGGTTCCAGGCTCTGCGCTCTTTGGGACTGCGGTTGAGCTCAGTGTAGCCTCAGGACTAACTCTGTGAAGAAGGTTCCAGGGGCTGTCGGGAGGTTGGGGCAGACTTGGTGGCGTTTGTAACCCAAGGGCACGTTGCGTCCCATCTCCAGTGGTGCAGGCTTTGGCTAATCGGAGAGGAACAGAGTGGGCAGAGGATCACATGCCTCTGCTGCTCCAGGTTCCCCGCAGGGTGGGAGGTCTGGGACTAGGATTTCTTCTTTAGCTGGGTAAACCTTAATCCACCTCTTGGGCCCTGAAGGAAGAAGTGATGTACACAAACGAAGGAAAATGCTGGAAATTCCCTAGTAAAATTTTACCTTTGATGACACATCCTTCCGAGGAAGATGGTGGTGTGTTGTGTTATCAGATCTTTCTTGGTGCGCTTGTGGTTCAGGGACTTACTCAAAACTGCTCCGTAAAAACTTGTCTGGAGGTCAGAATTCTGATGTAATTGTATTTTGCCTGTCCGTTTTCGCCCATCACTTTTAACATTTCATTTCTTTTCCCACCAGAAGTTTTGTTGGCTTTTTGTGACGTTTAGAACAAGAGCCTTGTTCAGCTATGATGGGTGACCAGTGTCTGGCATATGGAATCAGCACTATACAACTCCCTGAAAGTACTGTCTCCTAAACATTTTGTTTTGAATTATGTTTGCAACTGTGTGAAAATTGTGTGTTTTCTTGCTTGTGGCTAAGGAGAAATGAGTTGCATTATTTGTATGGGTTGCTTAAGAAAACGATGCTCTGTTGGGTGAAAGATTGAACTAGCTATCAATATGGAGTGTTTATTTGTAGCCTGCATATTAAAAGACATCGGAAACATACATGCTTATTTTCCTCCAGAGCAAAGAAAAATCTGTAATAGCATTTACCTCGAACCCCCTCCCTCCTTTTGCTATCAGTTTATTTTTGAGCACAGCTATTGAAATTAAACAATAACAGCGTCACCTTTGAAAAGGGTTTTTACTCTAACCTTATTTCTTCCCTCTGTTTGAATAGAAGAGGCGTGCGCACGCACACGTGTGTGTGTGTGTGTGTGTATGTGTGTGTGTGTGTATGTGGGTGGGTGGGGGGAGGGTGGGTGAAAGAATAGCCGAAAGCGAGGCTGAGAATGATGCACAGAATCTGAGCTCCCTTTTAAAATCATCTGCCCTGCTTTTTTAATTAGTGAAAGAGAAGGCTTTAATTTACCATCTTGGCTAAAGAATAGCAAAATCTTAGGGCCTCTCTTTTGGCACTGTGTACCACAAACCGAGTTGTAATAATGAGAAAAAAAAATTAAGTTCCAGAGTGCGGAAAGGGTCACTGAAGTAAGAAAAGTGAGGACAGGTCTGTTAAAGATAGCCATGCACATGCCAAAGAGAGGCTTTGGCTCTCCAGACACTTGGAGCATCTTTGATCTGTCCTTTCTGAACAGTGGATCAGAGGCCCTAATAGTCTTCAAATGATGTGGTGGCTTGTGTCATACTGACTAACATAACATAGCTTTGTCATTTCAAAGCACTTAAAATGATCAGCATGTGTGCTCACTAGAGAGAGACAGGAGAGAGAGGGAGAAAATGCCCCCAGATGTTGTGTGATCATGCACAATCCCTTCATTTCTTTTTTTTCTTAATTGCTTATTTAATTACATTTATTATTATTATTTTTTTAATTTGGCCAGAGAGAGAGAGAGAAGGAAAATGAGAAAGCAAGCTGCCAGGTCTGGGACTGGAGCCACAGCCAGCCACGTGGGAGTCTAGTGCCTTACCCACCACGCCACCTACTGGCTCCTCCCTTCATTTCTTTATTCTGTCAGGATTTTAAACACAACACATGTGCTGGCATGTTTTTCAGGCCACTGAGGCTGGGATTAAAACCACGGACAGCCATGTGGGATCTGGCTCCCTTAACCACTAGGCCTCAGGAGAGCCCTAAAAGCACTTTTCTTTTATAAGGGGGTGGCAGGCAGGGAAAGGGTAGAAGACAAAGATAGGTATTTGGACAGGGTCTTGCTGCTGTTGCAGCCTTCCTGCCTCAGCCTCTCAATTAGCTAGGATTACAGACACATGCAGCTATGCCTGGTGTGTTCAGGTTGGCCTGTGAACTAAACTGATGCCTCCCATGTGACTTCCAGCCTCCCATGCAGTCGTGTTACCTGAAAGACGGTGGCTGGGCTTCAGAGCACTTCTAAGAACATTATTTCAGCTTTGTTATCAATAGCTTTGTTATCTGTCCCTTACTCGGGAAAACAAGTAGCGCTGGTTAAAAGCCTTTGTTAAAGTTACCCAAAACTTAATTCTAAGTCCTCTGGCTACAAAGTTTGGCTATATTTAACTATTACTGTGTATTGAATTCTTAGCTTTCCTTTTAAAGTTCTTTGAAATGTGAAAAATAGGAATTAGTCCTAGTGTACTTGGAGTCTAGACTAATAGAGATCTAGTTCACTTTTTCTTTTTTGACATGTGTGTGTGTGTTGTGTATGTATGTGAAAGAGAGAGAGAACCCCCCAGTGAGGAATGGGTAATGAACTTGCTGCAATTCTTTTTCCTCTTCTCTGTTCTGTCAGGGTTTGGGGCATACATGCACACATGCCTGGAGTGTTTCTCAGGTCACCAGGACCAGGATTTGAACTGTTGCCCACAATGTGGGATTTGGCTCCCTATACACAGGGTTTAACTCCAGCACTATTGTGCTGGCTCACAATTCAGTTGCTTTCACATGGCATATGAGCGAAGTGGCTAAGTACATATTTTTTTAGGCCAGTAGGAGGTGTGATGGTTAAGGCGACTGGATCCTATGTGGCCCTATGCTTGGTTTGAGTCCCCAGCCTGGTGGGTTGGAAAACACACCAGATGTGTATGTGCATGCATGCCCCAAATCCTGAGAGGAAAATGGAGGAGAAGGTGTTGTGGTGTGGCCACCCCAAACACCATGGGTGATTTTCTACTCCCTCCCACCCCCACCCCGTCTCTTTCGGGTGAGCTCGTATGTCCTATAGCAAAAAAACTAAAAAACAAACTAATAACAACAACAACAACAACAACAAAACATAGTTGCCCATTTTCCAAACCCAAAATCTTGAGGACAGAAATTATAACTGGTTTTAATGTTTATCACAGGGATGGATTAGCTCTGTGAGGAATCCCATGTACTTTCAATGCCTCATCAGTATCTATACCCTGTGAGTTCTCCCATGTGTAAACTACTATTCTAAACAAGAGCAAGTACATGTTACTCAAGGGAAAATATTCTCAATTATAACTCGTTAAAAATTGTGCCATCCTGGGGCCAGCATATGGCATAGTGGTTAATGCACTGGACTCCCATGTGGCTGACCATGGTTCGAGTCCTGGTCCTAGCAGTTTGAATATCACTCCAGGCACATGTGAATGTGTGCCCAAAATCCCAGAAGGAGAACAGAAAAGAAGGGATTACAGCATGACCATCCCTCCTGGGAGGTGATTTTTTTACTTTACCTCTCACTGTCTCTGTGTCTCTCTAGTGAGCATGCATGTCCTCTGGCAAAACCTTTAAAAATATATTTCACCATCCTTAATAGATTCATGAAAATAATAGAGTTTGTGTATATAACAGAACTCTAAACGTTTTCAGGACTATGGGGCAGAAAGGAGGCCTTATGTTAATTTCATTGAAGTTTGATTTAGAAAGATGTTTTTGGTGTAAGTGAAAGTAAGTTAGTTTAGCAAAGCTGCTGATATATAGCTGAATCCATTAAAACAGATTATAGGTACTTTATCTCTCTATATAAACAGATATACACAAAGATGCAGATAATCACAGGACTGTCTGGCTGTTTTTCTTCACTGGTCATCTGAATATTCGTAGTTGATTTCTCTCACCCTCTCCAGTTCAGAAGGGTCCCACAGGACACTGGGAAGCTGATTTTGCAGGAAGAGACCGTCGTGTCATTTCATTGTTATAATGTATCAGTGTTAATCTGAGTGTTCATATCTGGGAGGAGCCTGGGCAAATTCAGTTAGCGAGTTATTAGAGTTATTCGGATGGACTGGTGTAGAGATTACCTGGGAAAGCAGAGACTGATGAGATGA